TATTCAAAGTGAATTAATTTTAAATATAATAAACTGTAAACAAAATAATGCATTTGGTGTGCACCTTAAAAATCTACACAAGAGAAATAAATACGCCAACAAAAAGTATGCTTTTATGTATTGTATAATTATAAAGCAAGAACAGTCTGCCTTAAAGGTTCTTGTGTACATACTTTCTCGTATACAGATGGTATTGTAATCGTGCACACAAATTGAATGAAATTAGGAATTTTAGCTGTTTTACACCTCTCTGCTTTATTGTATACTTAATATACAGGACTTATTCTCATCGTGAAAATAAAGCAATGAAAATCAAGAGTTTGGCACTTTCTGACGTTTTACAACAAAAAACGTAGTTTTTGCAATCCTGTCCGTCTATTTCGTATATTTGTGTGTGTGTGTGTGTTCGTGTGTGTGTGTATATGTGTATGTGTGTATGTGTGTGTGTATGTGTGTGTGTGTGTTTGTCTATGTTAACTTGGGACCAAAAGGCTGACAAGGATAAAAATGCTCACATGGACAAAATGCCGACAAAAAATGGCCTTCTTATAAAAAGCTGACTTCCAAAAGTTTTGTTTTTTGCACGATTACAATACTTCCTTTTACTAAATATATACTAAAAAACAAAAAGTTGCGAAAGCAAACATTTTATGTGTTTGTATTCTTTATGGAAAAAAAAAGGCAACTATTAAATGGCTTTGGGCAAATTTTGATATATTTACCGATTTTACAACAAATTATATTTTGCATCTAACATTTTAATTTTTTTTACGACTTACGAAAATCAACCGGGAGTGATCTCCCCTAAACTTTCTCGAATATTCTTATTTAACTTGGAATGTAGACATGATTTTTAATTACATAAACTTTTAAAAATAGAATAGAGTCTCATAGAAAAAAGAATTGCGCACCAAGCGAACGCCAAAACAAAATGTGCATAATAGTGCGCAATATTTTTAGTACTTTATAAATTTACATGCGTTTTTTGAGAAATCGGAAATAACGTAAATTAGTACTTCCGGTCAACGGAAATTACTCAAAATTTGAAACAAGGTAGAGAATTAGATTTTACACTTACATATGAAATTTCATTTATCTATCTGAAATAGTACTCAAGTTATAGGCTTTTGAAAAATTCAAAGTAGGAAAAGTACCACTTCCGGTTTTCGGAAATGGCTCAAAAGTTGATACGGATATACGATTTTGATAAAACACTTATATATGAAATTTCATCAATCTAGCTGTAACGGTACTCAAGTAATCGTGTTTACACACACACACACAGACAGACAGACACACACACACAGACATACGGACAAGATTGCAAAATTATGTTTTTCCGTATCAGTGAGGTGTAAAACGTCGAGATTTGTAAAAATCTCGATTTTTTTTTTGCCCGATTACAAGACTTTCTCTATACTTCGTTTATACGAGAAAGTAATAAAAGAATGTGCTAATAAATCGGGAAAATAATAAGATGATGATTTTAAAAAAAATCATCTTAGTTTTTCGAACTAGGTAAAGTGATGTTGCCTCGTTTCAGTTTCAAACCATTACATTAAATATTCAGAATAAAAAAGATCATTAATGATGCTGACACCTTTAATAATTTTAAACAAATCTGTCCCGTTTTTTTGGAGTCTAAGGAATACTGTCAAGGGCTTAACCCAATTTCTCTGGAAGGTTATTTGTGTGTGTGTGTGTGTGTGTGATGTAGTTGTTTAATTATTCATGCATCATTGTGGTGACAAAGAGGTTTACAGAACCTGAGCTAACCATATACAAAACCTGAACTACACTAGATCTAAACGGTTCTATAACAAATGATCTCAAGACAAATGATCTCAAACGAAATATCTCAAACACAATATCTCACGGACAAATGATCTCAGGACAAATAATCTCGTTCAGCATCTAGCGAGGGTTACAACACACTTGGATTAACGATCAATAGAAAATTGTTCAGAAAACTCTACACCTCGCAGTATTGCTCGACATAGCACTGTCTATCAGTAGCATGTCTTTTCTTGCATTTCTTGGCCCATGTTTACGAAAAATGTAGATTCCAAATTTTAAAAATTCAAATATAAATTGTGTTGGCCTATGTAATTTCTTTTTGTGTTAACAAAAAATTCAGACACAAAAATTATAAAATTAGAATTAAAATTTCTGTTGGCTCTTGATGTTTTAATTTTTCGCGTTTACATAAAATTTTAAATCAGAATTAAAAATTGTCATTTACGAAATATTCAGCCATAAAATTAAATAAACCGGGAGTGATCTCCCCTAAACTTTCTCGAATATTCTTATATAAAATAACAGGGGATGGGAACTCGGGCTATAGACATGATTTTTAATCCATTTTAAATTCTTAAAGTTTTAAAAATAGAATAAAATCTCGTAGACAAATTAATTGCACACCAAGTGAACGCCAAATAAAAAAGCGCATAATAGTGCGCAATATTATTAGTACTTTAAAAATTTACATTAGTTTTTTGAGAAATCGGAAGTAGCGTAAATTACTACTTCTGGTCAACGGAAATTACTCAAAATGTAACAGAAAGTAGAGAATTAGATCTTTTACTTACATGTGAAATTTCATTTATCTATCTGAAATAGTACTCAAGTTATAGGCTTTTAAAAAATTCAAAGTAGGAAAAGTACCACTTCCGGTTATCGGAAATCGCTCAAAAGTTGATACGGATCTATGATTTTGATAAAATACTTATATATGAAATTTCATCAACCTAGCTGTAACGGTTCTCAAGTAATCGTGTTTACACACGGACAGACAGACAGACAGACACACGCATACACAGACACACAGACATACGGACAAGATTGCAAAATTATGTTTTTCCGTATCAGTGAGGTGTGAAACGTCGAGATTTGTAAAAATCTCGATTTTTTTTTTGCACGATTACAATACTTTCTCTATACTTCGTATATACGAGAAAGTAAAAAAAAACTAGAATTAAGATTTTTCTTTCGTTTCTTTTTTTTTTGTGTAGCGGAAGTTGTCACTGAAAGTTGCGTAGTATTAGATACAGTAACATCATAGAATACTAAGACTTGCTGTATTTGTTCTTTAAAAAATTCACAACATATAGGCCTATGCCTTTACAGGTAATACATACCGAAATAATTGAAATGTGTATATACTATGATAAGCAAAATATACATGGATTTCTTTACATTTTTATTTCGCACATCATGCTCTTTTTAGACACAACAGCGAAATTGTACTTGTAATGTTGTGATTAGCCCGATTTCAATTATCCATATGGAAAAAACACTTGATTTGGTATATTTCACTATTTGAGTACCATTGAACAATGCTCACATTTTTAAAGAAAACTAGTAGGATAAACAATCTATGTTTTAAAAAAAAAATCACATGCAGCTAATACAAGTACATTTGATTTTGTAGACATATATCTGTTAATACATTAAAACGCGAGTATTTAAACATGCAGTTTCATTTCGGTCCATCAGATTACGGTATGCTGTTATTGTTATAATTTCAGATGTATTGTTGTAAATCGACTGGTGAAATATTCTACTTGATATGTGTGAGGATGATGTGTGTGTGGAGGGGCGGGGGGTGGGGGTGGAGGGGCAGGGAGGAGAGGGGTAATTGACACAAGGGTAAGTGTAACTGACATAAAATTCAGTTCAATGTTAGGATATGATCAGTGGTTAATATCCTGTAGACAGAAACTGACACTCACACAAAATCACACACACGCATACATACATACACACACGCATACATACATACATACACACATTATATATATATGTATATGTATATATATATATATATATATACATATATATATATATATATATATATATATATATATATATATATATATATATATATATATATATATATATATTTGTATATATATATATATATATATATATATATATATATATATATATATATATATATACATATACATATATAGGCATTCATTAAATTATATACGCGTATTGAGCTGTTTTGCCCTCCCTTCTAAGTATCTGCAATCACCGGCTCCAAAATCTTCTGCTTTTAAATTAACGTGATAAAAAAACACTCATTTTCATAATTTTAATTTTGTTTTCCCTCTACTAGCTGCGTTTCAGTAGCATTATGTTATGAAGATTGTTTCCCATAATTTGGCAGCAAATAATCAAACAAACAAATATAAAAGATGCAATGCAGATAGATTCGTAATAATGATTAAACTGCATGTGTTGTTTCTGTGATTTCTTAATCTACATTTCTAATTTGCCATACACGAGCATGCTATATTTAGATTTAATTAAAATAAAACAATTCCACAAATATTATACTCGATTATGCATGCAACTCGTTCAAAGTTATTGATTTAGACAACATTTTACAGCATGTTTATATGGCTGGGGTCTTATCCTATAGATCCATATATAGACCTACCTGAAATGTGACGGTGTGTGATGAGGGGGAAGGGGGGGGGTCAGATGGAGTGACGTCACTATTTTGCATAATAAAAAAGCAATGTTAGAAAACGAATTTTTGCCGTTATTTCGCGTTTTAGAAAACGGTTTTAATAAATTGTAATAGGAATTGATCAAAATACTCTGTTAACATAGTTCTCACAAGATTTTGGAAAAAATCGATGTTTTAACAACAATTCAACGGCAATTTTGAGGGGGGGGGTTGCTTGCTGAGGTGTGACGTCACTTTAGGGAGGTCTGTCTTTTTGTGACGACGTGTGACGGAGGGGAGGGGGGAAGTAAAATGGTCAAAATAGCGTGACGTCATTTATGGTTGACCTCTAAGTATTTATTGTTACCAAGAGACGGGTGTTTTGTGTTTTAAACTAGAGCCATCTTATCTATTCTTATAGTGTTTAGATATAATGTGCTTCAATTCAAAATAATCGGCTGTAAAATGATCAACTGGTACATCCTTCTGCGTCTCTAACATTATTTTTTGTTTTGTATTTTCAAGTATTTTAGTATACACAGATCTTCTACCGGCATTTGCAAGTATGTTTAATGAGCAAGAAGAAACTTAGATTATAATGTACGGAAGAATTTTGATTTTAATAAGCGTTTTTGCATCGGCTAAAACAGGTAAGATAATATGTAAAAAGGAGTTAGTGTTCTTTACTGGAGACTTAATCATCTTCTTAGGATGGTGGCTGTAACAACCGAACTTTTATTCAACGCCAAACTTGATTAAATCCCTGTTCAATCCTTTATTTAACTTGAAATTTTCTTCATTACACAACAAGCCTCCGACCCTAGCCGCTACCAACAAGCCCTCGACCCTAGCCGCTACCAGCAAGCCCTCGACCCTAGCCGCTACCAACAAGCCCTCGACCCTAGCCGCTACCAACAAGCCCTCGACCCTAGCCGCTACCAACAAGCCCTCAACCCTAGCCGCTACCAACAAGCCCTCGACCCTAGCCGCTACCCACAGTCCCTCGACCCTAGCCACTACCAAACAATCCCCTTTACAATCGTTCACTCCAGCTTTTATACGCACACTCGAACTTGGGATAACAATAAATAAACACCCCGGGGTTAACTCAACTCACACACGCCCCTCCCCTTCGTTCTAATTTAATCTAATATATTTTAATCCCATCTACAACTGACCCGTAACAGGGGCTGTTCCATGCTATAATTAGGTTACGGGTCAATGATCATTACGTCACGTTCTGGTAGTGTGTAAAGAGTACTTTACTAAAGATTCGATTTCTCAAAAACCTTTATAATTTGAAAAAAAAAATAAGTTAATAAAAAGTCTAGTGACAATTTAAGCGCAATTTCCTTATGTTATCCATAACAATTTTAAATCGCGATAAATCAAATGTTCAGCAAATAAATAATGCAACACAAGTAGTTTCAATAATTCAAAACAAAATAGAAAAAATCATTTCGAACCTCCGCTCATTCGCTATGGTAAAATGGGCCAAAAACTGCATTTTTTCGAGGTATTTTGGCTTTTCCGGGAAATCCAGGAAGGAATTCCGGTAATTGTTTTGGCCTATGTTCATCCTTGGAACTTGCTTAACATATTTGCTTTGGAACTAGTCCTCGATATTGCTTCGTTGAGGAGGAGATACGACTTAAAGACGACTTAAAGCTGCGGACACACATCCATCCATACATTCCCAGAAATGACGAGTTAATAACGCAATTCTCTAGAATGGAAATTGCGCTAAAAAAGTTTTCATAAAGCATATTCTAGGAACTTTAATCACTTTGTTCTCTCGGTGATTGAGAGCTTTTTTTTTTCACAAACCTGAAGACAATTAATGTAGCCAGATTTCACTTAAAAGTTACATCCTAATCATTAATGTTAAATATGAATATGCGAGATAGAATAGGGTAGCTCAATTCGGCTTAATTTTTTACAGATTGTACGAGGTAATTTTGTTAATTAGAGCTAATATAATGTTGTTCAAACAGACACAGGTAGTGCTGAAGCTAAGAAAGAACTTGTCTACTTCTGGGGACCAAATCCCCTGAAACATTGTTCTAAAAACCAGCTAGCGTTTCTTCGTGTTTTCCCGGATAAAAATGTCCAAGTAAGTTTTACTAGAATGTGTATATACAATAAATTCTTGTCATCGTATTGAAGGACGATGTCTTGTTGAGATTGTAACCAATAAATGAAATCTGGGCTTTTATGGTACATCTCGTTTAGGGTTAGTCGACAAGTGGTTAAAAGTCAGGGTGGTGGAAGTCTACAACTGTTGGCCAGGTTGTCGATTAACAAATCATTGAGTACCCACTAGCTAAGCCTAGCCAGTCCACACTTGACGGAAAATAAAAAGTCGTTAATATATATATATATATATATATATATATATATATATATATATATATATATATATACATATATATATATATAAATAAATAAATAAATAAATATATATATATATATATATATATATATATATATATATATATATATATATATATATATATATATATATATATGTCTACTGTTTACGAAATGAGATAAATTTAGTTAGTGTGATTGTGGCCGAATATAATATATGAATAGTTAATTGTTTATAAATGTTTGCGTTCAATTTTGGCTGGAATAAAAGCGGTTGCCTTGCAATACAGAAAGCTAAGAGGGATTCATAACTAAACTTGCTATGTTTCTGTTCTAATTACAGATTCATAGTGTCGACCATAACCTGGGGAACCACTCAGAGGCTCTGCTTGAAATAAGGCAGAAACACATATCGGGAACAACTCACGGATTTGCTGAAATGTAAGCGTTTTTTTTTTTTCAATAAACAATTTTGTTTTCCTGTGTATATTATTCGCGCGATTAGATTAACAGAAACTCAATCAGCCAAAATATAAACAAGTTGTTCTTTGTTGAGGTCAAAGTTAATGGCGCCTAATATATGATGAAAATGATTGTATTAATTTCCGATACGATCAATATTTCTATAATTGTGCAAGCTTTGTTTTAAATAGACAATCTATTTGCTAAATTGGACAGGTTAGATTATTAGTTAAACCAGTGTAAGTTGGCTTGGTTGGTCGTTTAAGCTCATGATTGCTGAACCGAAAAGTTCCGAGTTTGAACCCCCCCCCCCCCCCACCCCTTGTAGAAGAGGTTCAATAGCTGAGGACAGCAACTCTTCTAAGACAACCGCAGCCTTGTAGTTTGTTCTTGTTTGGACAAAGGCTAAGGAAGCAAATCCAACACGAAAAGTAAGCTTATATCGGAGTCAGTGGGCTATATGGAGCATAACAAGTTGACACGTAATACTTAATTATGTTGCAAGGAATCCCAGTAGCGTAGTGAGTGGGGGCGGAGGGGGGGGGACATATGTCCCCGGGCGCCGAGCTTAGGGGGCGCCAAAACGGTTGTAAAAATAAATTGAAAGGTTGAGGGGGGTGCAAATTGAAAGTTTGAAGGGGGGGTGCAAATCGAAAGTTTGAAGGGGGGGTGCAAATGGAAATCTCGAAGGGGGGGGGGGTGCAAATCGAAAAGTTTGTTCCCGGGCGCTGGGAAGGGTCGCTACGCCTCTGAGGAATCCCATCCAACACTAGAATGAAAAAGTGAAACGAGTCCCAGGGACGACGCACGTACATCGTGTAAAATCAGACGTGATTTAAAATACCATGCACGTTGTTGCTAAAAGATATTTGGACTTTTGATCCTTTGATTTACAATACAAGCTCGAGACTCATCATATGTACCCGCTCGTGCCTGTGACACACATGCCAGATGAAGTAGAGTTCATTGACAATGAAATCATGTGATCATCACAACGTCTAGCCGCCTTTGCTTCCCTAACGTGAGTCTAGTTCCCATCACAACTCGATTAACTCATGACTCCTTATACCGTAGCCTTGGGATTATGAGCTAACAGTTATTCTATGTTTTTATAACTAGACCGAGGATTAAGGACTACGAAAACCTTCAGCTAGAGCACCCTTTCAATTGTGTTGAAATGAGTATCGATAGCAATATCAGCTACAATACTGCCCGGGCCGTTTCACCCTCTTACTGGAGAAATAACTACACCTTTATCAACGTCTCAGGCATGTAAGTTGTCTATATGTACTATGCTTATATCTCTCTCTGTATATATATATATATATATATATATATATATATATATATATATATATATATATATATATATATATATATATATATATATATATATATATATATATATATATATATATATATAGTGCGTTTGTGCTTTATTTTCCTATTTTCAGTGCATTCAAAATATTTTTTGTTTTTTATATAGTGAGTGTGAGATATAACAGCCAGCCGTAAGTCAGATAAGAGATCGGTTGGACTAAGGGACAATATACTGATTGAACCCTGATTCGATCTCCCTATGTTCAAAGCCCGTTAACATTGTAAACCATATTGTATTATCTGCATCGGGTATTTGCTATGGAGAGAGAACAAAACCATTTTTTTCTATTTCCTAGACATACAACTGAGATGGAAAGTACTGGGTACTCAAAAGTCACTGGTAATCTTTCGTTAATAAACACTACAGCTAACATATCAGCGTGCCCGAGAGGGACGGAGAAGATGGAAGACACACAATTCAATATAATGTTAAATGAAATGTTAGATGATATGTTTACCTTTCAACTACAAGACCTGTTATTTTATGGGTTTTTTTGTGTGTTGTTTTCTGTTCACATTTATCGTACCAACAACGCCAGACGTGTGGTTGCATCTAGGGAATGCCGAAAAGGATAAGGAACGGAGCATGAAGTGAATTTGGTCAGTTATTTTCTCACAAAATATGAACAATCAAGGTGAAAATATATATAATTTTGTTTTTGTCGTAGAAATTGTAGAATGATTTTGTTTTAAATATATTGGCATTATATGAAATATATTTTCGTTGCTATTTATTATTACATTTCTGATTAGTCCATATCATCCGTAGTATTTATATATTTGTGAACAAAATCGTTGGTTGAATTTGTTTGATTTTGTATTGATTTACGGCACTAGAATGCCACAACTTTCTTTTAAGAAAAAATAAATATATTGTAATTGATATTTATTTGCTCAGCAATGTATGGTAAAGCATCATACTAATTCATGACTGTATACTACTATACTACGATAAGTTTGTATATGATAGATGACAACTGAGACAGGGAATTTTTAAAAACACAGCCTCAGTGTATTTCCTACACTCTGCTGACTGTTGCATCCATCGTTAGCTTTTAATGTGACAAAACAAATAAATGTAGCACATTTTGTTTGAAAGCTCTCTCACATATAAGCAGATATCTTGTTTATTGATTAAGTATCAATGTAATTTTAATTAAAATTTAAAAATATTTTTTTTAATAACGTAATTACAATTTTTTTACTAATGTAACTGCAAATGTTATTTTAAATAACGTAATTACAAATGTTATTTTTTTTTAAAAATCATAACAATTATTATTTTAAATAACGTAATTCCATTTTGTTTTCGAAATAATATTAATTCAAGCGATCGGGTTTTAATAAATGTATACTAATTTAAGGCATAAAAAGTAATTGTTTTTCCCTATTTATCTCATACAAAGTTAAACACCACGCCGCAAAGATTAAAGATAGAACCGACCATACCGGCGTATACAGGTGATCTCACACAAATTTGCAGAGGTACCCTATAATTTAAAAAAAAGGGTTTTGGATATTTTTTTTTTCATTCATAACTTCTCGAGGGTTCGCACACATTGGGCCGACGATAAAGTGAAAACTATTGAGAAAACATCCTATCCAATCGTGTTCTTGATATCCTTGTCTACATGACAGAACAACAAAAATCCACATTAAAATACTGAATGGGTTATTACAATCATGGAGGTCCAGACAACCGTTTTTCACTGGATTTAATAGAAATTCCGATACACTAAATATCAAAATAGCGAATCGATTTGAATATTTCCTGGACGCCCATGCACAGCTAGGCTGAAATCATAGTGGAGATAAAACCCATTTTTGATCGAAAAATCTTGCTTGCGTCTGGCTTTCGTTAAGTCAATCCCATTATTCAGAATACGAAACGCAGCCTACACGGAGGTACCGTGATAAAATAGACGAAATTACGCTTTGAGAATAGTTGTTCGATACTTTGTCTCCTGTGGCCCCGGTTATGTCGATCTTTCGGCGTCATAAGGTTGAAGTCCACTATGGAATGTTCGACCAACATACCAGCTAGGCTGAATTGGTTTTTTCTTATATAATTCACACCAGGGTGGATCTGCAGTGCCGCAAGACCCCGCAATGCGAGGGGGGGGGGTGGCACGCGTTTAGAGGGCCAACGAACGACCATGATGCCTGGCTCGTCTTAAACCCACACATTCACTCATTTCACGCCTCGCCAACCATCATGGCCCACCTTCTTTGCCCCCTATACCAGGATTCGGCAACAGTTTTCGACGGAAGAGCCAAAAGTTACAATTTACTAAATTCCCAGTTTTTTAAAGAGCCACTAACATTATTTTCATTTTTTTTTTGTATTTTATAAGGATTAGGCAAAAAAACATTTGATTTATGATTTGAAATAAATAGTGATAAATATGAAGTCTTTTTTTATTCATATAAAAACATAAACTTTTCGCACAAAAAGTGTTTTAGCTATCTCTAAAATGATAATATTAGTAATCAAATAATATAACTATATCACTAGGGATCCTCCATAAATGACGTCACGTTTATTTGGCCATTTTACTACCTACTCCCCCATACGTCACATATCGTCGCAAAAATCGGACCCCCCCCCCTGGTGTGTGACGTCATTTATGGACGACCCCCCCTATCCCAATACACTTTAGAAGCCAATAACTTTTTTTTTATGGACACCACTGGCCTAGAAGGTGTTTCAACACGGCCTACTCCGACTAACTGGCTGGGATATCAGTTTGATTACCGTGTATCGGTCGCTTCTGTCATTATCTTCCACCCTACGCGTACCAAGAATCCAGTCCCAGGCTCAACCGTTGGAAACTAATAACTAAAATACGTCGCTCAAGTCAAATTAACGCATACGAATGAATGCATTCGGAATAAAATAACATTCCTCATTCAAAAATATTCGAAAAAAATCGGCACTCGGACTATGGCAAGCATGGACTTGTTGCCAAGCGGCTGTCAGTTGTCCGTATACTTTCTGCCTCACTTAATCCCTCAGTTCTCTGATGAGTGTTTTTATCCTGTTTAAGTTTTTAAAGTTGTTTTTTGTTTTTACCGAATAATAATTTTTATGAGTTTTGAAAATGAAATAATCTCTCTCTCTCTCTCTCTCTCTCTCTCTCTCTCTCCTGTTTAAGTTTTTAAAGTTGTTTTTTGTTTTTACCGAATAATAATTTTTATGAGTTTTGAAAATGAAATAATCTCTCTCTCTCTCTCTCTCTCTCTCTCTCTCTCTCTCTCTATATATATATATATATATATATATATATATATATATATATATATATATATATATATATATATAATTCTCTTCTGTGAGACGTTAGAAAACAAGCAGCAAGCGCGCCTTGCAGTCCCCTCTCTTCCTCTCTATCACTACCACCCCCACCCCCACCCCCCTCACATGGTCTGGTGAACTTTGGTTTACACTAAATGTTTACATTTTACAATCGTTGAGCCAGGTTTGGTGACGGCTATTAGGGGCAGATAATTTAGTTTGAAACAATTTTAAACTTAGAGGAGGTAACTAAGAGGAGGCTGCTTTCACGGGGGGGGGGGGGGGGGGGGAGGGGGGGGGGGGAAAGGGGAGTTTAGTAATTTTGAAGCAAATTTTTTCAGTGGCAGCATTGGTACTGTCGAATTCACAAATTATGAATTACTGAAAAGTAGAAAAAAACAACAACTAAAAAGCGGCGTATGATACACCGAGGGTCGGCTCGTTATTAATATTTGTGTATGGAACCAAGAGAGCCGCATCTATACACCTATACCCTATGACTCTTTCCCTGTTCTAACGATCTCATTACAACCCCAACCACCCCTCCACTAGTGTCCAATCCAGTTCTTAACGACTCGAAAAGTACAACACATACCAACTGACACGCTATAAATAGAACACAACAATAGTAAGGATACGCATCATTGAATCCGATGACTGGTACGCCTGACTCAAACCAATATGTTCATTCCCTTCCCAACCCTAAGCTGCAACTACCTAACTTGAATACTACCATAAGATTACTATCTTTGCAATGTTTACAATGTCTTGTATTTTAATACTATATTATATTCTAATGATGATGTATTACCAAAAAAGACAGTTATCCAAGGGATGACGGGTAGGTCTAGTATACTACTAAAACTAAAGTTTGTTTACATGTTTGAATATTTTTTTTTGTTTGTCTGATTGGCTACTGGAGAGAATCTGCATTATGTGAAGAGCTGTAAAATATTATGTAGGTAGAGAACAAAAATTTGTTTTCAGACAGACTGTTAATCACAAATTTATTTAAAGAAGTTAATTAGTTTATTGATTTATTCATTGGTAGATTAACCACATTAATTATAAAAGTTTCAAACAGTGGCTTTACTTTGACTAAATAGTGACGTCACATGATTTAGGTACTTTTACATCAACAATGGCGGCTTCTATCGAAGAAGATTGTGTTCCCATTCCAATGTTTAACGCGTTCTAAAAGCTAATTTTCTGTCGGCTATAACTTTAACAACACGTCCGTTTGCTGTATTTATTACGTTCCAACACTTATATCAATTTTCAACTGTCTTTTTCATTTAGTTTTACAATAAATTTCTCTAGATCTACAGATGTGCTGTCGAAGGAAGAAGAAGTTATAAATCTAGATCTAGGTCACTAGACTTACGTAAATTCTAGGTCTAGACTTAATGTAAATTCTACATCTAGAATCTATTTCAGACTTTCGTTATTTTATATACATCTTTGTTTGTTTAGCTATGGAATTGGCTAATTTAAGATAAAATTTAATTTGAAAGTTACTAGACTTAGATCTAGATCTAGATAGGGCCTATGCGCGTAAATCAAGTTGCATAAGGAGACTCATAGTATTAAATTATACCACAAAAAAACATCAGTGACGTCACGAGTCTAGAACGCTAAGTTGTTAATGTGTAATAGGCTTTCATGCGGATGGCACGTGCATGTCACGTCAATGTTAAATTTTTTTAGAAGTGAAAGATAAATTTGACTATCTGAACTTGGCGGGATACAGTGTAGATGAAGTAGAGTTCATCTGTTTCTTTGTCCTAAGCATATGCAGGGATAGTGTGGTCAGAGACATGCTCGGCTGGAATCGTTTTTTTAAACAATAAAAACATGTTGTCTGAGACTTGGCGGGACACTGGGCAGGTGAAGTAGAGTTGAGTAGGTCACCTGTGACGTCATATATGAAGGGATAGTGTAGTCAGACATATGCTCAGCCGAAATCAGTGTTTTTAAAAGATAAAAAACGTCTTTTTGAATGTGGCGTCTAGTTATTTTGTGATGATAAGTGACAGACGTGATGTCATTTATGGATGACCCCCGAAACCCACAGTCTATTTTTAGAGGCTTTTCTGTTGTAAAGACTGGTCAGTTGAAAGAGGCTGATCTCTTGTTTGTTTAGATTGGTGTGCTGAGAAAGGCTGATCTCTTGAAAGATAAGACTGCTCTGTTGAGTGAGGTTGATCTCCTGCATGAAATGACTGGTCAGTTAAGAGAAGCTGATCTCTTGTATGGCCAGTTGAGAGAGGCTGGTCTGTTGCATTATAGGATTGCTCAATTGAGAGAGGATGATCTGTTGTATGGTTAGACTTGGGTGTTGAGCGAGACTGGTCTGTTTTTTGGAAAGACTAGTCTGTTGAGAGAGGTTTTTTTAAAAAGATTCTTGTCTCTTGTAAGGTAAGAGTGCTCAGTTAAGAGAGGCTGATTTCTTGTATCAGTTGAGAGAGGTTGAACTTTTGTATGGTTAAATTGGTTAGTCTAAACGAGCTTTCCTGTTGTATTATAAGACTGGTATGCTGAGAGAGGTAGATATGTTGTATAGACCGGTCAGTAGAGAAATACTGGTCTTTTGTATGAAATGGAGAGGCTGGTCTGTTGTTTGGTAAGACTAATTCTGTTGAGCGAGGTTAGTCTTTTGATACAGGCTGGTCTGTTGTATGGTAGGCTGATCTGTTGAGATAGGCCATTCTATTCAGAGAGGCTGTTCTTTTGAGAGAGTCTTCTGATAGAGGCAGATATTATGAGAGAGGCTGTTATTTTGTATGTTAAGACTTGTAAGATTAGAGAGGCTGGTCTATATTTAGGTAGAATTGGTATCTTGAGAGACGCGTGTCTGTTGTATATTAAGACTTGTCAATTGAGAGTGTTTAGTCCGTTAAAAAGATTGGTCTGATGAGTGAGGTTGATCTCTTGTATTGGAAGACTTGAGGGTTGATAGAGACTGGTCTGTTGTTTGCTAAGACTGGTCATTTAAGAGAGGCATTTATGTTGAGATAGACTAGTCTTTTAAGAGAGTCTGGTCTCTTATATGGTAAGGCTGCTCACATTAGATGGGCTGATCTCTTATAAGGTATGACTGGTCAGTTAAGAGAGGCTGATCAAATGTAAGATAAGACTGTTAAGTTGAGAGAGGTTGATTTTTTGTATGGTACGACTGGTCAGTTAGGAGGGTGGTCTCTTGTTTTGTAAGACGGGTCAGTTGAGAGATGCTGATTTGTGTATGTTAAGATTGGTCAGTGAGAGAGACTGATTTCTTGTATGGTAAGAGAGTGGACTTTTTTAGATAGGATTGTCTGTTGTATGGTAGGCTGAACTTTTGAGAGAGGCATGTCTGTGGTAAAGGATTATCAATACAGTGAGGCTGATATCTTATATGCTAAGACTGGTGAGTTAAAATAGGCTGGTCTATTGTATGCTAAGACTGGTAACTGGCATCTCTTGTATTGTAAGATTGGTGCGTTGAGAGAGCCTGGTCTACTGAACATACTGGTCAGTTCAGACAGACAGTGCAATGGTATGATAAGACTGGTTTGTTGAGATAGGCTGGTCTATGGTAAGATTAGTGTGTTGTTGATAGAGACTGGTCTGTTATTTAGTCTGGTTTCACATATGTTATTTGAGAGTGGCTGATTACTAGTATTGTAGGTGTGGTGTGTTGAAATCGGCTGTTCTGTTGTCTTGTAAGACTGGTCCAGTCGAGAGAGGCTGTTCTATTACATGTTCATACTGGTTTGATGATAGAGTCTGATCTCTTGTATTCTCAGACGGGTACGTTGAGAGAGCCTGGTATGTTCTGTGATAAGACTGGTCTGTTGAAAGAGGCTTATCTCTTGTATGTTAAGACTGGTGTGTTGAGAGAGGTTGTTCTATTAATAGAGGTTGGTCTTTTGAGAGTTAATTGTCTTTTTATGGTATGGCTGGTCATTTGAAAGATGCTCTCTCTTGTATTGTAAGTCTGTTGAGAGGGACTGATCTCTTGTATTATAGGACTGTTCAGCAGACAGAGGCTTGTCTGTTGTAAAGACTTGTATGGTAGACTGGTCTGTTAAGAGAGGCTTTTCTGTTGAGAGACGCTGGTCTGTTGTATGGTAAGGCTGATCTCTTGTATGGTAAAACTGGTGTGCTGAGAGAAACTGATCTCTTGTATGGTAATACTGGTCTCTTGTATAGTAAGAGAGGTCTGATAAGAGCTTCTGGTATCTTGAAAGATAAAACTGGACTTTTGTTTGTAAGTCAGACTGAAATATTTTTGTGACATTATTGAAATGTCATTATTGTGTTGCATGACAGCTTGAGATTGAAATCAAGGTTTAAACAGCCTTCTCTCTCTGCTCAATGGTAGCATCTGTAAATACAATTTCAGATGATGTGATTAAATAATTTCAAGTTTAATCTGAGATCTAAAAATGCTAAATACTAATAAAAAGTTCTGATGTCTTAACAATTGAAGCATGTTTGTTATTTATTAAACCGAATAGTCATTCGATTGAAAGCAAAACATTTTGTAACCTTATAAAACATTTCTTATCACAAAAAATATCCCTCAATCTAACGCCAGTGGTGAATTATAAATAATTATATTTATAGCACACGTTAGTGGAAATTTGATACGAACAATATTTTCTAAATCGGTGTCTCGACCTAGACTAGATTCTAGAATTTAGATCTAGTATCAAAGCATTGTGTTAGCCTAATAAAAAAACAACAAGTTGGTGCTCATAAATCTTACTGGGATAGGCTATATTAAAAAAAAAACCACTCTTTTTTTAGTATTTTTAAAATGAGAAAATAGAATGCATTAACATGATTAATCAAATATCCTTATTTAAAAATACTTTGATTGTTGTGGTGTAAAATATCGTGTGATTGCAGCGTGCGACTGCGTTGCTGGTCAAAAGGACACCCACAGAAATCACGAGATTCGTTTTGCGCCGAGATTTTTAGCCGTTTTTTTTTCAAATGATTATACCTCGATAATCTTGCTTCAGATTTCTTTAACATTTTCAGGCATTACGGGGAATCATACTGGCATCTTATTTACGTAAAAAAACAGAAAATTGAATTAGCTTTTCAATTAGACGGTTTGCGAATGAGGTCATCGATATCATAAAGTATGAATGCACGATTGATCTGAGAATTCCTTGATCTAGACAGTTAAAGGCAACTACTTGCGTGACTGTAAATTTAACGCTGATTAAACTTCAATCAGTGGACTTCATAGGAACAAGTAAATAGAGTAAACGGTTTATCAAACATCAGCCTTACGCAAAATTATTAATATTTTTTTCCCGCTAATAAACTACATCATTGTAGACACGACGTGAAATGTCACGTGATTTCAATCGAGATCTGAAAATTATTCGCCTTGGGCGATTTACAGCAAGAAGGAATTCAGGTAAATTCAGACAAAAAAGAGAAATTGCTCAAAAACAAAGAAACCCAGACGTTTGAAATTCGATGATGAAAGGGTATTGAAAACCTACACAATAATTCTGACGTAAGTGATCACTCATCTTTTCGGAAACTGTCTAAAATAAACACGCCTAATACTCCCGTATTCTTGCAGAATAATTAAGTAAATAACTGCCGCCGTGATTTATATTATTTTTTAGTTTCTAAAATTCCTTTATGTTGGCGGTTAATTTCCTGATTTGTGTAGCTACACTACTATCAAAGTTATTTTTTAATTTTGTTTCGCATTAGGTTATTGATTGAACTATTAGACTACTTTTACTTAGAAGAATCTAAGATACACACACACACACACAGACACACACTCAAACGCACATTAAAAAAACAAAAACAAACACAAACACACACACCAACACAAATATGAGTATATTTAATGCCTGTTAGTTTGAAAAACAACAACTTCGACTTGTTACTTGAGCGCTACTTTTACTTTGACGGTTATGTTAATATTTTGTAATCTTATTGAGTTCAGTGCCTCTTAGCTTATAACATACCTATAAAACTCTATCTTACAATAATACCATTTTCTCCTCAGTTATAATATTTATCCCTTTACATCCTCCGCGCGGAAAGATATTTTTTTAATTATTCTTAATATTTTGATCAACTTATATTCAAAAGGTTTCTTAAAATTTGATATTTATTTATTCATATTTTTACATTTAGAATAGCATTTTTTAATTTTTATTTACATATAGAACTTCAGAATTTGTTTTATTTACATAGTATATATATATATGTATATATATGTATATATATATATATATATATATATATACACATATATATATATACATTTAATATATATAGACTCACATGTATATATTCATATATATATATAGCCTATACATATATATATATATATCTAATTATTATATTACAATAACAATATATATATATATATATATAAATATATATATATATATATATATATATATATATATATATATATATATATATATATATATATATATATATATATATATATATATATATATATATATATATATAGGCTACTTTGTTTATTTCAATTCTTGTTTTCAACACATTTTCAGCCATGTCCGACCTTACTACAACACCAGAATCTCCCCAAAGTGGAAACAACATCATAGCCAACATATCTTCAGGTTCCACAGAAGCTATGTCTTTGTATCTCCCAGCCTTCGTCGTTGACTTTATCACCACATTAAATTACATCTTCTTAATAGAAATATTCGCCGCGTTTGGACTCGGGACCAATGTTGTGAACATCATCGTGTTCACGAGGCAAGGATTCCAGGAAACTGTGAACATCACTCTGGTGGCGCTAGGTGTAGGAAACATGGGGGCGCTGTTTTATGCCATGGGGTTCTTTATGCTGAGTCCTTGGTTCCTTCACGCTGGTCTCCCTTTCCTTCAGATTGATTTCTTAACAGTAGTAGTTAGCTACCCGCATACGTATTTTATTCGTGTTTGTGGTTTCATCAACGCTTTCTCTTCATTTTCAAGATGCATGTGTGTTGTTTTTCCTTTACGTTTCAAGAGTATAATCTCTAAACCTGTAGTATGGGCATTCAATACAGGCGTGTTTGTCGTGTGTTTGTTGTGTATAGTTCATGCTTTCTTTTTGACCTACTTTGATGACGTTTTCGTCCCATCAAGAAACAAAACTATCATTGCATCACGGTATCGTTTTAGCCCTGAAATTCTAAAAATTTGGTACTTGGTAAGCGACCTTGCTGTTCCTATCTCGTATTACATAATCATCGTCGTCAGCAACATCGCTATCGTCCTCAAATTGAAAGTAAAAGCTGAATGGAGAAAATCAACTGCAACAAAATATCTCCCAGAAAATCAAATATCGCAGAAAGATAAAAAAGTAACCCGGATGCTGATTATGATTTCCATGGTGTTCGCCATTTGCCAGACTCCAATAATAATGATCTACACAGCATCAGCGTTGGAGCGAGAGCTAACATTTCGTGGAAAATACTCGAATGTTCTAATTCTTAATTCAAGTTTTGTTATACTGTTCGACGTCATCTTTGGTAGTGTGGACATCTTTATTTATTACAACATGAGCACTAAGTTTAGAAATACTTTTTTAGAACTTTTTGCTTTACAAGACCTCACACAAAAATTGAGGTTTCAAAGAGTTGAATAAACCACTTTGAATGCCAGCTCTCTAGTAAAACTAAAGAATAAGTCTCTTTTAGTGAATTGGCCAGTTAAAGTTTCTTCATTGAGAATGATAGCGATGTTTCATTAAACTTACCAGATAATTTTTAAGAAATGTATTTGTATTGTTTATTGTATCTTTAATTTTTTTTTAAAATTCTGTTATTAAAAGTGTATACAATTTAAAATAAACTTCACCATCGAAGACACAAGTACCTAATTCATAATACGCACACACGAAAATATTATTTTGAAATAACCACACCTGAAATACAGGAAAACCCAATTTTTTCTAAAATTTAGAGGATAAAGTCTAGGGCTCAACGAAATATCATCTGAAGATTTATTTTTTGTTGTTTGGCATTTTTTCAATTATTTACGCATCTTTGAGGTGGCAAGGACGTTTACAAAATTTGAGCTAACCAATTACAAAAGCTAAACCACACTATAATAAAACTTCAACATAATTTAATTTACATTCACATTTATTAAACGTTATATAATAACAATAAAGACAATATTTTAAAACAATTATCAATCAACACTACACATGTACACTACTCACGGGCAAACCAGTAAGACATAAAACTCAACACAGGATCAGGCATCGGCAACAGAACAGCATCTCAACAGTGCATCAATTTATCTGTGATAAATAATCAAGCTTATTGGAATTGAAAATAAGGCTAACGAGAATAAGACATTAGGCTGCAAGTATATAATATTTGGCCAGCAGAACGACAATGCCAAGATTCTCCCGACAATCATTCAACATTCTTCCAAGTTGCCTACAGTTGGTAATACAATATCTCACACTTACTGTGTCCAAATAATTCCCTTATCCTACACAAGCTACGAATTTTAAATTGCCAACGATATTTACATTGAAATTGTAATCAGTGTTTCTTTCAGCTATCCTTTCGGGGGGGGGGGGGGGGGGGCTTAGCTCCACCCCGAAGAAAGTCTGACGCCCCAATATCGAAATGGAATTTATATAGACAACACATTCATTTATCCGTGTCCGGCTCCCCCCTCCCACCTCGGAAAATGTTGTCTGCCGCCTCCCCCAAAAATATCAAGAGCTCCCCCCCCCCCCCCAGGAGAAAATTTATTTGGAAGAAACACTGATTTTAATGTTGTATAAATGTGTTATTTTACTTAGTGAAACCATACGTCTCACTTCTAAGTACCTAGTTTTGTGCCAGTCAAGAGAGACGGGCATTTTTTTTTTTAAATCTTTAAAAAATATATTTTGAAAATCCACTAAAAGCAGAGCTGCAAGTACAAACATTGAAAGTTTTTAGATAAGACGATAAGATTAGATTCAAATTAGTGGTACATGACAATTTTCATGCTGAACAAAGGTTTTGGATATTCTTTTCCTTTCCACATACATCTTTGTAACAAATTAAATAGTAATGAATTATGATTGAACTCTAAACAACTGAACTTTTGTAAACAAGTGTTGTGTTGTCTAAACTGTCGCTGTTTCTGTTTACATCCCCCTGCAAGAAATGAAAAAAAAAACATGCTGAATTTATATAGAAAATATATTATTTAATTATTGTCCCTCATCCCGTGGAAATTTTAGGTCCCCCCCCCCCCCACCGCTCCATTACTTTAAAGTGCCTTAGGCTTAAAGTTGCTAGAAAATACTTGATTTAACCATTGTTCCCTCAACACACATTTTTTAAGTGACCCACGCCCCCTCCCGTTACTTTAAAGTGCCTCTGGCTTAATGTATTTGAAAATTATAAAATTAAACCTTGGCCGCTCCCTCCCAGAAATGTCAAGTGCCCCCTCCCCGTTAAAGTGCCCCAGGTATAAAATATATGATATAACCATTGTCCCCTTCCTCTAATTAATGTTAAGTGCGCCCCGCCGTTACCATAAGCTGCCCCCACCCCCTGGAATGGGTAGTTGGATCTGTATTCCAGTTCAGCATCTACCGAGGGGCCGAGGGTTAGAAAACACTTTGTTTAACGATCAATATAAAATTTTAAAGAAAACTCTAGAACTAGCAGTATCCCTCGATATAGTACTATGTTTCAGTCACATGCCTTTGCTTGCATTTCTTGGCCCATGTCGTTTTTTTCTAGTTTTCGAAAAATTCAGATACCAGATTTAAATAATTCGAACAAAAAATTTGTTGGCTCATGTCATTTCTTTTACAGTATACGAAAAAGTCAGATATAAAATTTAAAAAAAAGTAGAATTAATTTTTTTTGGCCTGTATCATTTATTTTCCTGTTTACAAATATTTCAAATAGAAAAATTTTAAAATTCAAATAAATAATTGTGTTGGCCCGTGTCATTTCTTTTCTAGTTTACGAACAATGTAGATACCAAATTTTAAAAAATTAAAATATTCATTTGTTATGGCCCATATAATTTATTTTCGTGTTTACGAAACATTCAGACACAAAATTTTAAAAAAAAAGTAGAATTTAAATTTGTGTTGGCCCTTGTCGTTTTAATTTTTGTGTTTACGAAAAATCAGACATAAAATTTCAAATCAGAATTAACAATTAGTTTGGCCAATGTCTTTTACGAAACATTCAGTCACAAAATTTAAAAAATTAGAATTAAGAATTTTCTTTCGTTTTTTTTTTTTTTTTTTTGTAGCGGAAGTTGTCACTGAAAGTTGCGTAGTATCAGAACAATGTAACATCATGGATTACTTGCTGTATTTTTTATTAAAAACATTCAAAAGTTTTATACCTATACAGGTAATAAATACTGAAAAGAATTGAAAGTTGTAAATACTATAGATAAACAAAATATACAATATTTTACATTTTTCTTTCGTACATCATGCTCTTTGTAGAGACAACAACGAAATAGGACTTCTAACGTTGTGATTAGCCCGAATTTTTACAAGCTTTTATTTGACTCACTGTTCTTGTCGTCAGTCGTCAGTCTGTCGTCAGTCTGTCTAGATCGAAACGGCCGAGCGAAACTACTGGCACTTCTAACTGACAGATACAGTACTTAGTTGGCGCGTGGGTCAAGACATGAAGACAAATCCGACATTACATTTCACTTAATTGGATGCCTAATTATTTTTTTAAGAATTAATTAACATTGTGTCCATAATAGTAGGCTGTCTCATCAAACTATTTCGTACTATTCTACACGCATCATCACGTTCATTAGGTGCGCAATGGTTTTTAGTCAAGCACGTCTATTGTAAATTTTAAAAAATAACATACTGAAGAAAAACAAAAAAAAAAACCCCACGTTTTAATTACAAGCTTTTGTGTAATAATGCACTAAAAAGTAGCGGAGGGGGGGGGGGGGGGGTTAATTGACACAAGTGTAAATGACATAAGTTTCAGTTCAATGCTTGGAAGTGATAAGTGGTTAATACCTTATAGACAGCAAAAGACACTCGCACACAATCCCTCACACACACACACACACACACACATATATATATTTATGTATATATATATATATATATATGTATGTATGTATATATATATATATATATATATATATATATATATATATATATATATATATATATATATATATATACACTCATTTTCATCATCTTCAATCTTTAAGATAAACATTACTCTTAAGTTGATAATTTCGCGAAATGTTTTTATTTACTAGCCTTGTTTCAGTAGCATAGTGTTATAAAGATTGAATCCCATAATTTGGCAGCTAGTAATAAAACAAGCAAATATAAAAAATGCAATGCAGATAGATTCGTAAAAATGATTTAACTACTTGTGTTGTTTATGTGATTTTTTAATCTACATTTTTATTTTCATTATACACAAACATACTAGATATAAATCTAATTGAAATTAAACAATTCCACAAAAAAATAGCATACACTATTATATATGCAACATGTTCATTTTTAGTGATTTTGAGAACATTTTAAAACAATGTTAATGTGGTTGGTGTCTCATCCAATAGATCCATCTATAGAACTACCTGAAACACATGCCAGAAAAACATATTCGATGTTTGTGACTTGATCAATTATTCTGCTTATCACATAAGGTTCCTATTTTGATCGGATCATTACAGGATATAAAATTTTGTGATGTGAATGAAAAGTAAGAATGAATTAAGTATTTACTGTTACCAACAGACGTGTGTTTTGTGTTTTAAATTTAAAAAAATCTTATCTATACTTATAGTATTTAGATATAATGTATTTCATTTCAAAATAATCGGTTGTATAATATTCAACTGGTATAGCCTTCTGCGACTATAACATTATTTTTTGTATTTTCAAGTATTTTAGTATACACAGATCTTCTACCGACACTCGCAAGTATGTTTAATGAGCAGGAAGCAGCTTAGATTATAATGTACGGAAGAATTTTGATTTTAATAAGCGTTTTTGCGTCGGCTAAAACAGGTAAGATAATATGTAAAATGGAGTTAGTGTGCTTTACTGGAGACAGTCATGTTTTTAGGATGGGGGCTGTTTCAACTAAACTTTTATTCAAATCCAAACACGATTCAGGGCACTGTTCAAACCTTTATTTAACTTGTCATCTTCACCATTACACCAACAACAACCTATCGACCCTAGCCGCTACCAACAAGCCCTCGACCCTAGCCGCTACCAACAAGCCCCCGACCCTAGCCGCTACCAACAAGCCCTCGACCCTAGCCGCTACCAACAAGCCCTCGACCCTAGCCGCTACCAACAAGCCCTCGACCCTAGCCGCTACCAACAAGCCCTCGACCCTAGCCGCTACCAACATGCCCTCGACCCTAGCCGCTATCAACAAGCCCTCGACCCTAGCCACTACCAACAAGCCCTCGACAGTAGCCGCTACCAAGCCCTTGACCCTAGCCTCTACCAACAAGCCCTCGACCCTAGCCGCTACCAACAAGCCCTCCACCCTAGCCACTACCAACAAGCCCTCCACCCTAGCCGCTACCAACAAGCCCCATTACAATCGGTCATTCAAGCTTTTTATACCCGCTTATGACCTTATGATAAAAATAAATAAACACCCCGTGGTTAACTCAACTCACACATCTCTCCCCTAGGTCCTGAACTATTCTAATATATTCGAATCTAATTAACAACTGACCCGTAACAGGGAATGTTGCATGCTATAATTAGATTAAGGGTCATTGATTATTACATCTCCTTCTGGTAATGTGCTGTAACGGAAAGAGTACTTTACTAACGATTTGATTTCTCAAAAACATTAATACATTAAAAAATCTTTATCATAAAGCATATTGTGAGAACTTTTACCATTATGTATTCTTGTTGATCGAGAGTGTTTTTTTTTTCACAAACCTTCAGACAATTAATGTAACCAGATTTCAATTAAAGTTACATCCTAATCATTACTGGTAAAAATGAATATGCGAGATAGAGTAGGGTAGCAAAACTTGGCTTAATTTATTACAGATTTTACGAGGTAATTTTGTCAATTAGGGCTAATATAATGTTTTTCATGCAGACGCATTCAGCACCGAAGCTGAGAAAGAACTTGTCTACTACTGGGGACCAAATCCCCTGAAACATTGTTCTAAAAACCAGCTAGCGTTTCTTCGTGTTTTCCCGGATAAAAATGTCCAAGTAAGTTTTGCTAGAATGTTTACTTAATAAATTCTTGTCAATTTTATTGAAGTGCCTGTCTTTTTGAAAATGTAGATATAAATGAAATGTGTGTTTTTATGATATATGTCGTTTAGGTTAGTCTACAACAGGTAAAATGGCAGGTTAACAACAAAATAGTGATTACACACTGGCCAAGGCTAGCCAGTCCACACTTACAGAGGGAACTAGATGATTCATACCAACGGTTGACAGACAGACATTAAAAGTCGTTAAAATGTATATATATATATATTTATATATATATATATATATATATATATATATATATATATATATATATTTATATATATATATGGCTCCTGTTTATGGAAATGAGTTAAATTTCTTTTGTAATTGTGGCTGAATAAAATATATCAATAGTTAATTATTTATAAATGTTCGCGTTAAATTTTGACTAGAATAAAAGCGGTCGACTCGCAATACAGAGAGCTACGAGAGATTCACAACTAAATTTTTTTATATTTCTCTTCTAATTTCAGATTCTTTGTGTTGACCATAAACTGGGTAAGCATGCAGAGGCTCTACTAGAAACAAGGCAGATACACAAATCGAGAACGATTCACGGATTTGCCGATGTGTAAGCATTTTGTTTTTTTCAATGAACAAATTTCTTTACCTCGCAAATATTATTTACGTGGTTAGAAAAACATAAACTCAATCTGCCAGAATATAAACATGTATTTCTTGGTACAGTTCAAAGTAAATGCCGAGTAATGTATGATAAAAACGATTGCATCAATTTGAATGATTTTCCGATACGATCAATATTAATATAATTGGGCGAACTTTGTTTTGAATACACAATTGATTTGCTAAATATGATAGATTAAGTTATTTGTAAAACAAGTAGAGGTCGTCGTGGTTAAATAGGTTAAGCTCATGGTTGCTGAACCGAAAAGTTCCGAATTCGAACCCCCGGCCAGATGAAGCTCGATAGCTGAGGACAGCTACTCTTCTAACAGAAACAACTGCTGACTTGTTGTTTATTCTTGGGTAAGGAAGAAAATACAACACGAGAAACAAGCTGAGATCGGAGTCAACGCCTTATATGGCGCATAATAAGTTGAATCGTAATACTTAATTATGTTAGAAGAAATCCCTTCCAACACTAAAATTAATAAGAAGTGAAACCAGTCCCAGAAACGACGCTCGTACATCGTGTATAACCACATGTTGCTGAAACATAGATTACAATTTGGACTTTTGATCCTTTGATTTAGCATACAACATCGGGGTTCATCATATGTTCCCTCTCGTGCCTGAGACACATATGGCAGATGAAGTAGAGTTCATTGGCAATGTGATCATCACAATGTATAGCCACCTTTGCTTCCCTCACCTGAGTCTGGTTGACATCAGAACTTGAGGAACTCATGACTCACCATACCATAGCCTTTGGATTAACAGCTGACAGTTATGCTATGTTTTTATAACTAGACCGAGGATTAAGGACTACAAAAAAGTTCTGCTAGAGTTGGAAGCAGCTAACCCATTCGATAGCAATATCAGCTTCAATACTACCCGAGCCGTATCACCCTCGTACTGGAGAAATAACTTCACCTTGTTAGAACTTTCGGGCATGTAAGTTGTCTATATGTACTATACTTATCTCTCTTTCTTTCTCTCTCTCTCTCTCTCTCTCTCTGTCTCTCTCTCTCTGTATCCAAGTTTTTTGACAGGGAAAGTCGTAAGGCTTATAGTTTAAATTATTCGCAGATAGACTTCACTCAGGGGTCGGCAACCTGCGGATCTCGAGCCGCATGCGGCTCTTTTGATGTCAGGATGCGGCTCGCCAGTTCCATAATAATTATATTTTTTTCATAACTCATAAAAATATTATACTGTAGAAAAAAAAACTTAAAACAAACAAAAAAACACTAAAAATAGGTGGAGTAGGTTGTATGCTGAAAGCCGCTTAGGCACAAGGCCCAGCCCCACAACTGTGATGTGGTCAGCCCCGTGGCAGTGGTTCCTTGCTTTCCACTACCGAAGTGCACATTTTATTTATTTTTCGACTATTTTTAATAGGGTGTTGCAGTAATACTTTGCTATATAACATGCTATTTTTCAAAAAGTTATATAAATTAATTGGCAAGCGCTAAAATTATGTTTTAGCTTTCAAAAATTAAAACAAAATATTAAGTATCGATTTCTACGTGTTTTGAATTTTTTAATTCAAGATAAACTATTGAAAATAATGTTTGAAATAATTAATAATATTAATTCATTAATCCATTCCAAGTTTTGGAAAAATTTCCGCCAGGGAGAGATTAAATTTTCCAAACTAAATGAATTATTGTGATGATGATTCCCATTGATAAAAAAAACATGGCGGCTGCTTGTTTCTTGACTTCGCTTCAGCATTTTAAACTCATCATGAACTCCCAATATGCAACAAATATACTAAATTTCAAGTCTATTGTGTACGTACGGTTGGGAAGTAATGTATTTGCATTCAATTCTGACAGAAAGGTTTTGTGGCAGTAAGTAAATTAATTATTTTTTAAAGTTAATGTAAGACCTAGCAAGCCTAGCCCCAGGGGACATTACTCCTACTGGACAATTGGTAAACAGTAAACAAACTTTTATCAAGTTCGACTTTACTCTTTACTTCAGCATATTGCAACTAGATCTAGATCTAATAGTAATAGTACTAATAGATCTCAATCTACCTGATCCTAAATCTGTTCTTTATACTTCCTTAACTAGAGGAATCTAGTAATAAAACAGATAGGCCTAGATTTTTTTAGTGTGTGTTTGTAGTAGAGATCTAAGTTACTAGATCTAAGTACTAAAAGTAGTGACTACGACTAGTCTAAGTGTAGACTGTAGACTACTGAGGATGTTTGTGTAGTTCACTTGAGCGTAGTTACTGAGTGTAATAAATTAAAATGTTAATAATATAGATCTATGACCTATTGATAATTAATAAATAATTAGGCCTATAATTCTAGATCCAGTGAGTAGGTCTGTGAGTCTATATTTTTTTTTCTAAATCTAGCTAGTTAACAACAGTGCTAAATCTAGTTAGTAACTAGAGAAATCTAGATCTAGATTTGTCAATATTGACCTGAAGTTATAGATTTAATGGCTAGTTTTAATTGCAATTTTATTTATATTTTTTATGCGCTTATTATGTATAAAAATGTAAACTATGATTATAAGACAAAAATTTTAAGTATAAATATTGTGTGTAAATTAAATCTATTTTTCAGAATACCTGAATGAAATCAGTGCATATAGACCTCTAGTAAACACAGAAGAAAGTACCCTACACATGTTCCAGGCAACCTTATCTAAGACCAACAAAACACAGGAAATCAAAATGTGTTTTAGAATGAAGACTTCATCTGAGTCTGCAATTTGTGAATAACAATATTTAATGCAAGAAAAAAATTAAATTTCCTGAAATTATGGGACAAATATCACAATATAGTGGCTTTACCTTTACATACTTAATAAATTATTAATTTATTTAATAAAAATTGAGCTTGTCTTAATCATTGAATTTGTTTATTGATTGTAATTGTTATTGTTAGTGTATGAAAATATTGTAAACTACAGTGAGAGTAGTAAAGTTCATGTTTCTAGCCTGTTGGTTCATGGATCAGACTGCAATGAGTTCACCTGTTTCTGTGACTTTGGCATATGAAGCGATGATGTGAGTTAGGTACCCCTCATTGCTGGGTGCACTCAGGGACTTTTTACTGACTTACTTAAACCTCAATTCAACTTGATACTGTTGGGTTAGCAGTCTAGCCCCAGTGTGTTTTGCTTCATATAAAATTTGCAAGTTAAAAACACTGTTTAGTATCCTCAATCACTACAGCTTTTCAAAATTATTGAACTAACACACACACAAAGAACGTATTAAAACAACACTCAATACAAATAAAATAAATGTTAATTTAATGCTTGATAAAAGGATTTATTTAGGATATATCAATATATATTTTTACAATGACCTACAAATATAAAATTGGGATTCATTGGTCAAGCAGTAGAGCACACAATTGCTAATCCAGAGAAGTGATTTGGGGGCTTGAGTACATTAAGGGTAACTGGCTTAAGATACTGACTTTTAAGTGTAAACCACACAACTGTTTTATTAGCCTAAGTCAAAGAAACAAGACATTATTATTACAAGTGGAACATACTTCATCTGTGGAATAATACAGTAAAAATAAATATTACATAGTGTAGACAGACACTAAAATACATGCTTACTGTAAAGCAAGAGAAATTATTCTAAAACAATGTAATATACATTAGGCCTACTACTATTTAATCAATCATATCTGTTTATTCTGAGTGATATAGGCAGAATACTGTAATTAATAGCATATTTAATTTCTACTAAGTAGGCCTTGAATAGCAATATGAGTTTCTAGGATTTAGTTGATGATTTTTTTTAAATCTTGGAATTAAATTTTCAATGTTAAATTAAAAGCACAATGACAGTAACACAAAGCCAAACAAACCTTATTAAAATTAAACTAATTTATGTTAGTAACTATTAGATTAATCCAATTTTTAAGCTCACTTTGTGCTTAAATCAAAATTTGAATTTCTAGAGCTACTACTTGATATAGAATTTGATCTAGTAATACTGGTACACTATAAGTTGTCTATATAGCTATAACTATGTCTACGAGGACTAACTACAAAGCAGATGACTAATTAGTAATTATGGTAATTAGGCCTAGCCTACTGTGTAATAATATCTAGTTTATCTACTTCTAGATCTAGTACTAAAAAAAAAGTACTAGGAAAAGTAAAAGGAATTATTTTTAAAAATATGGCATTGATTTAAAATAGGGGACTATTTATTAAAATGAATAAAGGCAACATCTTTATTACTAAAAATAGACCTAATTTAAATTTGGGACCTATAATTAACTATGTTAATAGGATTAATACATAGGGCCTAATTACTAATTTAATTACTAATTAGGCGTAAAGTTTCTACGCAAAAGAAAGTCTAAAGAAAAATTTATGGGCCTAAATTCAAAAGTTAAGTCTAAAGGCCAAAGGTTTCTGTTTTACAAAATGTTTGTAGATCTGTAATTTGCCACTAGTGACTAAAAGTAGAGTAGGGTATTAGTCTAGCCAATAGTAAATCTAGCTTATTATTCTATTATTACTAGCTTAAATACTACGTATTAATTAAGTACTAAACTAATACAAACACCTATTAATAAAAGTATTCATGTAGTTTACTATAAAAGAAAATAAAAATTACGTAAGCCTACTACTATACTTAATATAATATAATAGTCTAACTATAGTAGCTTATATATATATTTATATAGGCCTACTTAATACTTACTATATACTAGTATATACTATACTATATAACTAAAATAAGGCATAGAGATCTAGATCAGAGATCTAGAATCTAGATTGCTAAATAAAATACTTAGGCCCTAGTATCAGTAGATCTAGTAGGAAATAATACTAAATTAAATACTACTATTTGACGATTTGTTATAATATTATGTCTAGGCCTACTGTTTATAACTTAGTGTATGACGTATCATTAATATTAATTAGTCTAGTACTAAGTTAGTACACTAAAGTTCTTAATTCTTTAGACTTGGTCACTTGACTTTACGTCTTCTCAGTCTTCTCTTCTTTAAACTAACTACGGTCCCTACCTCTCAAACTAAAACTAAATCTAACGTCGGTTGTATTCTAAATAAAATTCTAGATCTAGATTCTATTAAAATCTGCAAAGTCAATTATTTATCTAAATCTAGATTTAGAATCTAGATTCTAGATTCTATCTCTATTTCTAGATCTAAATTCATAAAATTCTGATTCTAAAACTTGAGTTTGTTTTGAAGCGAAAAGCGAAAGTAGCTTTCCTAACTTAAAAAAAAAGATTTAATAAAAAATATTCAGATTTGGTTTAAAAAAACGCCAACCGGCAGGACTCCATTTGGACTCCACTGCAACACCCTATAGTATTTGTTATTTTATTTATAAGTCATTTGGGTATGTGTAACTCTTCATTAATTTGACTAGAGTGACTTATTTTTTACTTATTAGCTTCTAAATTGGGTAGGTATAGTTCTATAGTTTTATAATTTGATTTTAATATCCTAGCAGAGCTAGCTAAAATACTTTATTATGTTTTGTGCGAAACATGTTTATGTTTTTATATAAATAAATATTATTTCATACTTAAACCAATTTATTTTGAAATTTATTTACCTAATCCTAATCAAATACCATAATATTGAAAAAATATTTGTAAGTGGCTATTTAAAAATTGGAAGATTTTGTAAATTGTAACTTTTGGCTCTTCCACCTCAAAAGGTTGCCGACCCCTGACCTAACTCATTCACTTAAATAAGTAAGTCTTAGTAAAACCACCTATTATCAAACCAACCATGGCAAAACCACCTATGGTCAAACCATCTATGGTCAAACCACCTATGGATAAACCATCTATGGTCAAACCATCTATGGTCAAACCACCTATGGATAAACCAGGTATGGTCAAATCACCTATGGTCAAATCCCCTATGGTCAAACCATCTATGGTCAAACTCCCTATGGTCAAACTCCCTATGGTCAAACCATCTATGGTCAAACTCCCTATGGTCAAACCACCTATGGATAAACCAGGCATGGTCAAATCACCTATGGTCAAAACCCCTATGGTCAAACCACCGATTGTCAAACCACCAGTGGTCAAATCACCTGTGGTCTAACCACTTATTGTCAAAACCCCTAAAACCCGTTTACCGTGTAAACTATATTGTACTATCTGCGTCTGGCATTTGCTATGGAGTGAGATTATCACATTTTCTCTTTTTCCCAGACATACAACTAAGGTGGACACCATGTGTACATGGTACTCAGAAGTCACCGCTGAACCTTCGTCATTCAACTCTACAGAAAACATGTCAGCTGACCAGCGAGGATCAGAGAAGGCGCAGGACACCAGTCTCATTACAGTGTCAATTGGGGTGTTCACTAATATGTTTACCTTAAATTCACTGAAATTGATATTGACGTTGATTTGTTTTTATTATGTAATCAAAGACGCCGATGAACCCGAGCATGAATTGATGCCATGCCCTAAAAGGGTAAGAAACGGAGCATGAAGTGAACTTCATCAGTTTTTTTTCTCAAAACATCTGAACGATCAATGGGAAATTTAGAAATTTTTTTTTTTGTAGAATAATTTCGTTTTAAATACATTGGAATTATATAGAATATATTTATGCTGATACTAATTATTATATTTCACATTATTCCCTATCAGCTCTATTATTTATATATATATTGTGAACAAAATAGTTGGCTGACTTTGTTTGATTTTATAGTCTAAGGCGGCATTCGAATGCCGGAAGTTATTTTTAAGAAAACAAAATAAATCATCATTGATATTTATTTCTTCAAAGACCTGTCGGCAACTTACGGTAAAGCATCACACTGTATACTACAATGATACGGCAAGTTTGTATATAATAGATAACAACAGAGCCAACAAATTGTTAAAAAAAACAGCCTCATTGTATTTTCTACACTACTGAATGTTTTATCCATTATTGGCTTTTAATGTGACAAAACAAATGAATGCAGCACATTTTTTTTAAAAAGCTCTATAACATTTGAGCATATATGTTGTTTATTAATCCAATATCTATGTTATTTTAAATGACATATAGAAATGTTATTTTTTAACAACATAATTACAAAATTTTACTTTTGAATAATGTAACTATAAATGTTAATTTAAATAACGTAATTACAAATGTTATTTTAAAAAACATAATTACAAATATTAGTATTATTAGTTTTTAAAAAAAAAAAACATCGTTACAATTCTAACTTTAAATAACGTCATTCCATTTTGTTTCTGAAATAACATTAATCCAAATGAGCAGATTTTAATAAATTTGTGCTATTTTGAGGCATAAAAAGTAATTGTATTTCCTTATTTATTTCATACAAAGTTAAACACGACGCCGCAAATATTAAAGATAGAACCGACCATACCGGCGTATACAGGTGATTTCACACAAAGTTGCAGAGGTACCCTGTTATGTAAAATGAAGGGTTTTGGATCTTTTTTCTCATTCTGCACTTCACGAGGGTTCGCACACATTGGGCCGACGATAAAGTGAAAACTATTGAGAAAACATCCTATCCAATCGTGTTCTTGATATCCTTGTCTACACGACCGAACAACAAAAGGCCAAACACTGAATAGGTTATTATAATCACTGAGGTTAAGGCCACCGTTTTTTACTGGATTTAGTAGAAATTCCGATACCCTAAATATTAAAATAGCGAATCGATTTGAATATTTCCTGGACGCCCATTGCACAGCTAGGCTAAAATCAAAGTGGAGATAAAACCCATTTTTCAACGAAAAATCTTGCTTGCGTCTGGCTTTGGATAAGTCAATCCCATTATTCAGAATACAAAACGCAGCCTCCACGGAGGTAGCGTGATAAAGCAAGACAAAATTACTCTTTGAGAATCGTTGTTCTATACTTTGTCTCTTGTGTCCCCGATTTAGCCTTTCTTTTGGCGACATAATGTTGAATTCCACTATTGAATTTTCATCCAATATACCAGCTGGCGTGAATTGGTTTTTTCTTATATAATTCACACCCAACCATCCGTCGTTCATATACTCAAACATGTTTACTGAAAATACAAGTAAAAATACAAATAAATAGTCAGATAGAGAACAGTTTCACGAGAAATTTGACGACAATAACATTGGACAAATGGGCACATGGATAGATACTGCATAGTTCATCTTTTCAGAGACCCCGGCATATGAAGAGTTAGTGTGGTCAGCACTATACCCATCTGCTTTTGCTTTCCCTAACGTGAGTTAGATACCCATTAGAGCTCAAATGAGTCTGGTACATTCTACTGACTTGAACCCGGATTCGGGGGTTAGCGGGTTATCAGTCTAGCGCTCTACCACTAGGCCACGCCGTTCAATACGTTTAAAAAAAAAGTTTATTAATTTAAAAACAAACTACGAATACTGCAGTTAGATCAGCTTAGTTCTGAAAAGACAATATATGTATGCTTTTATACTCTCCTTTATTCTTAATTTTTAGAGTTGGAAATGATCGAGTTTTACCTGCCAGAGGGTTCGAACTCGGGACCTTTTTTTTCGAATTTTAACAACCATGAGCTTCTGCCGACTCGACCACGCCTCCAACACAATGAAGTATACGTGTCAACTGGTTATGCGCCATTTAGGCCATTGACTCCAATTTCAGCCTGCTTTTGTTTTTGGATTTGCTTCAATAACCTTTGTCCTACCAAGAACAAACTACAAGGCAGCAGTTGATTGATTTTGGAGTTGTCTCTCCTAGAAGAGTGGCTATCCCCAGCTAACGAGCCTCACCTGTCCGAGGGTTCGAACTCGAGAATACTTTAATACGAGCAGTGGCGTAGCGAGGTCGGGTGTCACCCGGTGCGGCACTTAATGGTGTCAGCCCCCAGAGGCGTAGCGACCCTTCCCGGGAACAAAGTTTCAAACTTTCGATTTGCACCCCCCTCAAGTTTTTCTCTATATATTTTGCTATTTTTTGCCTTGGTGTCACCCCCCTAATTTGTGTCACCCGGTGCGGTCCGCACCCCCGCCCCCCCCCCCCCCTCTCTACGCCTCTGGATACGAGTGGCGTTATAAAAGTAAATTTATGTCAAATATAAAATTTAAACCCTTAAACAAAATAATTTCGTAAATGACAAAGTTAATTAGCGATAAAAAAAATACAATTTTTTTTGTATTTAAAGTCAAAATTAAAGTTCATCAATGTAAATGTACTCGATTATTATAGTCTGATTTGCTGGCATCGTATAAGAAACCAAATATAAAAAGTGAAAAAGTCTATATAGGCAACTTTTTCTAAGGAGAAAAATATTAACTAATAGTACTGCAGATGTATTATGCAAAATATGTTACACTTGCATGTAAATTTATAATTTTTCCGGATGCAAAAGCTTGAGTATAATAGTTTTGAAGAGTTATGGCTGATGTTTTAATACTAACACAACACTAACACAACAAGTTTTAGTAACCTCTATAATAATGTCTGTTTATGTTAACAGCACATGAAACAGACACCTAGGCATGCACAATGTAGAGCAAGAACGATCCAATCTAACATGTTAAATTAGTAAATAAAATCTTTCCGGATTTTCTTTTGTTTCGGGTATTTCCCTAAATACAACAATCTGCAAGGCAGCGATTGTTTGAACTTGGAGCTTCATTCCCTAGATGAGTTACCGTCCCTAACTCACGAAACCCATCTGCCCGAGGGTCCGAAATCATGACATTGGGGTTGAGCTCTATTTACACGACCCGTACCAAATATTGCCTATTGTAAACACTGGTTGAAATGTATGAATTAAACAGCTGATATCGATTTAGCTCTAGGATCGATACACAACGTCAAGTATTGATTTCCACTTAACAGCTGAATACGATATTAGAGGTACGTGTATTTCACGTATGCAGTTTTGAAAAACACAAGTAGGCCTATACCAGTTCATTATAAACAAGCCGATATTTAATAAAGTAAAATAATAATTCAATACCATAAAAATACTTAGATTATATAGACATATTGTGTTTTATATATAAGGCTACAATATATATATATATATATATATATATATATATATATATATATATATATATATATATATATATATATACACAACTCAAAGGCGTAGCGACCCTTTCCCTTTCGATTTGCACACCCTATCAAACTTTCGATTTGCACCCCCCCCCCCCTCAAACTTTAAATTTGTTTTTTCCCAACCTAATTTGGCGCCCCCTAAGGTCGGCGCCCGGGGACTTGTGTCGTCGTCGTCGTCGTCCCCCCCCCCCCCCGCTACGCCTCTGATGCAACTAATTAAACGTTCAATAAGTTTACTTTTCCATCCATAAAGGTATCTGGTCATACGGAAAATAACACGGATGCAATAGTGTATAAATTATTTATGGTATTAGCCTGAATAGACTGTTTTATATATCAGTTGTGTTGAATTGTTTAATTGTGAAAACAGCTGTTACCTGGCCTTACCTGTTTAAGATCGACTCCCGGGTATATCAGTTTGTTGTTATAGCTATACATACAGTGACGGGTTAGGATTAAATCGAAATCTAAACTGCAACTAAGACGTACTCTGACTATCCTTCCTGGAAATGATCTATTTCCATGTTGCCGTCGGTTTTGAATCAGACCTTATAAAAAATGCGACCTAAAAAACTTTGGTCTAAAAAAAGTGTATTCAGTATCTCGACGTATTGACAATTGATACTTGGCTGTGTTAGAAAATATATCCCCTTTGCCCCCCCCCCTCACTCACACTTTCCACGTCCCTACCAATTAAGAACGAAGAAAATTAATAGAAAATGTGTTATTTAACATTTTCTCGTTTATAAATGTGCTAATTTTTTTTAAAGCGCAGCGGGTGGACGGATGTACAGACGGACTGTCGGACGGACAGACGGACAGATGGACAGATAGACAGACAGACAGATAGACAGATGGACAGACGGACAGACAGACTTTAAGACGGACTGGCGTACAGGTAACATTCAAAACTGTTGTTTTCCTATCCAGGAAAACGTAACACGCAAACGATTTCGATTTTTTATCTTTATTTATTTTGTACAGAAAATATCTAATTTAACCTTACCCTCCGGAAATTTAAGTCCGCA